ATACATAAAGAAGAAAGGAGAAGATGTGATGTTTGTTGCCCTATATGTTGATGACCTTATCTTCATGGGGAATAATGCCGAGCTAATTGAAGAGTTTAAAGAAGTGATGAAGAAGGAGTTTGAGATGACTGACTTGGGTCTTATGAAGTATTTTCTTGGCTTAGAAGTTGTTCAGGGAAAGGATGGCATCTTTGTGTCGCAGGAAAGGTATGCTGAGGAGGTCTTGAAGAAGTTTAAGATGACAAGCCGCAACCCGGTTTCCACCCCTATGGAACCTGGTACAAAACTTTCTAAGTATGCGAGATGGAGACCAGAGTTGATGCAAGCAAATACCGAAGTCTCGATTGGAAGTCTTAGGTATCTTACAAATACCGGACCGATTTAATGCTAAGTGTTGGAATAGCAAGTCGATATATGGAGGAGCCAAGGTATACTCATTGGAAGGCACTAAAGAGAATTCTAAGGTATGTGAGAGGAACAGTGTCACTTGGCCTAATGTATACTAGGACGGATGATTATCGACTAGTAGGCTACTCTGATAGTGACTGGTGTGGAGATGTTGATGACCGGAAAAGCACGTCTGGATATGTATTCTTCATGGGAAACACAACATTCACCTGGCTTTCAAAAAAGCAGCCCATTGTAACGTTGTCAACTTGTGAAGCCGAGTACGTTGCAGCATCCTGGAGTGTCTGTCATGTAGTTTGGCTTAGAAACCTTCTAAGCAAGCTGGAGTTGAAGCAAGAAAAAGGGACTGTGATTCGAGTTGATAACAAGTCGGCCATTGAATTGGCAAAGAACCCGGTCAATCATGAGAGAAGCAAGCATATTGATGTTCGGTTTCACTTCATCTGAGAACAAGTGAAAGAAGGAAATGTGGAGTTAGAGCACGTCGGAACCCGAGCACAAGCTGCAGATATGTTCACGAAGCCACTGTCAACCACTCTGTTCGAGAACAGCAAGAAGATGCTTGGAATGAAGGACAAAAAAAGCATTTAAGTTTATGGGGGGATTTTGTTAGGTAAACATTAAATGCATGTAGTTGAGAGGTAGTGGTTATAGAGGTAGTAGTTGAGAGGTAGTAGTTGTATTGAATGTATGTAGTTGAAAAGTAGTAGTTGTATTAAATGTATATAGTTGAGAGGCCATATCCAAAGGCCTATAAATTGACCATGTACCACTCATTGCAAAAACACATCAAGTGATAATATACAGAGTATTTTATTTAGATACTTGTTTGTCAACACCTTTTGTTAGGATTTAGCACAACAGAATTTCTTACACCATTTCCTATACTTTCCTTATTCCTCTTTTTTCTTCTATGGTTCACTCTAATAGAAGGTTGGCTTGATAATAAAAGTGGAACAAAACGAGGGTTAGGGTAAGTTTAAATCCTTCATTAACAAAAACTAACATTTTAACAACTAATATTTACCGATCCAAAAAAAAAAAAAAAACACTCTAATCTCTTCCTCTCTACCAACACTACCTTAGGTTCTACTTGCAACTCTCAGTCTGCTACTAGGAGTGGCGGAATTTCCTTGCTAGGATGACTGAAGTTGTTCAAACATGTACAGGTCAACTAAATGTTTTTTTCCTTTTTATACAACATAAGTATGCAAAGATACCACTACATAACTTATAAATTCCAAATAGGTTGGGCCAAGTTATATTAATCATCTGCAACATACTCAACATAGCATTAAAGAAAAAAAAAACAACAACACAAGATTCTATACCAAAACCTATCAAGGAACAAATCTAAAAAAAGTATTGGGGTATTATGGGATCCCGCTGTAGGTGAAGAATAACCATTTGGTAGAATATTGTACCAATCAACTTCTACATCTTATTCTGATAGAAGAGCCTCAGTGTCCACAATCTTTCTTGAATAGATCAAATGACCTTGCACTGAGTTTTCCATTGCCCCTTTTAGCCAATGACTTCAATTAATAAGGTTGAACCTTCAAAAACACCATATCAATGCCTTCGAATTAAACTTCCCTTCTATTTCTATTTGCTTGTTCCTTTTATAAAATTTTGCTTTCTTCTAATATGCTGCACCTCAGTGTCAGTGATTTAACAACTTTTTCTACAAATTGCGTTGTCCCTAAGAAAAGAAATAACGCTGGGAGGGTCCTGACTATCCAGTACGTTAAAGGGACTCATTTTTATGCAAGCATTATAGGAAGAATAAGCCTGAACTCAGCTTCACCCCACCCCTCTCCACCACAGCCATTGACAATTTGGTCAATTCCATGATTCCATTACCTTATTACGAACTACTTGAATACTAATACAACCTTAAAGAGACTAGATGTAGTTGTTCCTTCAAATAACAAGCCAAAAGGAATAAGGAATGTATTTCAGGGTAATAGAACCTTACAGACTCGGTAGCATAGATAGGGACCATTGAAATAACAGCAACAATCCACTTCTGCTCCTGAATGTAAACCAGTTTCGGGTTAGTCAAAGTTGTTCCTAACTTCTAAAGATTTCATTCAAGCTAAAAAGGTTGCATCTTGAATATGTACAAGCATATGACCTGTTATTTTGTCCTTTTTAATCTTCTCAGTCAAGCATAAGTGATAACTGAAAGCACTACACTTTGGTTTTTGAAACACTAATTTCCTTGAATATAATTTCAACAACCAAGCCTCATAGAAGTTACTCACACCTCATGGCACAGTAAAGGTGAAGAAAAAAAAAACTTGACTGATTAAATAGACATGAGAAAATTAACTCACTGCAGGATTGTTATATGATCGAAGATGTTGCAGAATGAGAAGAATAGAGAGCACTAGAGCTTCAAGCACAGAACACCCAGCAATTATGGCAGCAGGTGGGCGAAGATTTTCATATGTTCCTTCAAAGTTTGAGAAATGATTTGGTGCCATTCCTCATGCATCTTTCTCTCTAAACACTTCAGAGCTTTCCCAGATCAATGGACATGTATGGAAGCTTGTCCTATGCTGTGAATGACCATGATCACACCAAAGCATGCATAATGCAAAATTCATCAATAGCTCCATGGTTCATGTTTATTAGAATTAAGAAAATGCCACTTGAACCTCATTATCAATTCCATTTTGCTAAGGAAACACACGTGCCTGCGCTATACTTTCTAGCATATTGTTGCAGGGATAACATTATGCAAAATGAACACTTTACATTTATACTCTGTTCTAATATAAATGAACAAATCTGAAATTCATGTTCTCCGTAACAAATGAACTTCAATTAAGGTCACAAGACAACATGGTCAAAGAATAAATTACCACATTAAGATAAACAAGTCAGAAAAAGAAACCTATTCAGAAAATGGTGCAAGTGAGTACAAGAAAACACCATGCATATCTAACCATGCATCTTTACACATTTGCGCAAAGATTGACACGTTTTGCTGTGTCACTTCACAAAAGGACACGTGTAGCTTCGTTCTCAAATCATTGCCATGTAATAGTTTCTTTTCTTCTGTTTCTGAGCCAATTCAATAACTTCACATTCTCTTTCCACAGTTAGAATAGTTCTTGTAACTAAATTACTTTTCTCTACTAAAAATCAAATCATTTTAATTTTATTTTATTAATAGAAATATTTTTTTGAGGATGTTTCTAGTTTTAGATTTTAATTAATACTAAACTTTTATAATATTTTATTTACATATAAATTATGATAGCTTTTACTTTCAATTGTTTTATATTTTTGTATTGTTTTTTACTATTAATCTTATACTATATCTTACAGTATTTATGCACAAATTTAAAATGAATTAAAAATAACACATTAAGTAGACATCACGCTTTTTTACTATGTTTTTTAGTGTAATGGTGAAATATTTTGAAGTAGTATTATGATTAAAATATACAATAAATATAAAAATATTTAAGAAATAAGAAAAATAAAGTATATTTATTATCTATCTGTAAATTTCCCAATAATATTAATAATAAAATAAATTTCTTTTTTATCATTACCAATATATCATGTAAAAAGGATAAAAAGAAACCTATTTCATGTTTAAAAAAAGACAAAAATGAAGTCCCACCTTATAAATGGAGTGAAGACAAAAGTAAAATAAAAAGATCTCTTATGAAAAAAAAAAAAAAACTCAATAAAAGTAAAATTTAATAAATATTTTAATACAAAAATGGAATAAAAAAAAGACATTAACTTTATAAAAAAACTACTTTGAATACATTTGCGAAAAGAAATATTATAAAAATTTGTTAATCAAACACTATTAATAAAGTCAAACAATTTTTTTTACTTAATAAAAATAATAAAAAGAAAATAGCCTAATGATGTGTTATTAGAATTCCAAACTACTTACCACTTGTTTCAATTAGAACGAAATTGCTTTAGATGATATTTTCATTTTAAAAACTATACAATTTTCAGAAAAAAAAAATTGTTCAACCTATGTTTTTTCTTTGATCACGAATGTGGAAGTGGCAACACTTTTACTTAATTCAATCCATGTAAACACCATTAAATTACTCGATGGATTTTCCCCAGAAGCATTCCAGCAATGTATAATTCATGAGAAAATAAGTGATAGGATTCAATGTCATTTCATTAATATGTTTTTATTGAAAACGAAATTTAAAAGTATCATCTTATTGAGTCTCATCAAAGATTTTTCACAGACATATAAAAGATAAACAAATTTAATATCATATACGAATGTAGTGAAGTTAGATTTCAAATTGAAAAATAATAACTTAGAAATTATAGAGTGTTGTAGTATGATGTGGGTATTATTATAAATATTAATAAGCTAAATTTGATCCAATATGTAAACAATGTCAATAGTATAAGATGACAAGATATTAGAAATAAGAAAAACTCATTTAACTTCAAAAAGCGAAGTGTAGTTATTACATATTTAACATACATTAATTTAGGGTTCACTTATATACTCAAATGTGCCATGCCACATGATTTGTGAACAAAGTTTAAGCACCAAAACCCTAATAAGAATAACCATGGAGAAGAAACTACCCACCTTTACTTTTCATGGTTATTATCCCCTCAAAAATTGGATAACCAAGAGCCACCAAATAGCTAAGGAGAAAAAATTGACCAAACATGTTTTCAAAATCTTTGACAAAGAGCAATCTCCATAAGCCACCAAAGAAGCAAACAATGTTGACTGTGAGTAACATAACCAATGGAACCATGAGCAAAGCTGCACCTTGGAAATTGAACTTACCCTGCTCATATTTCTTGAAACTTTCTTCATCAATAACTTTGTTTGATAAAGTGAATTTTGCTTTGTTCAACCCAAAGAGTTTCTTGATTGCCACTATGGGTGCAAATATGCCTCCAACAAGTGACTTTATAATCCAACTTCTCTGTTCATCCCACCATGATCTCAGAGACCCACCACCATAAAGAATCTCAATCAAATGTCGACCATGACTTGATATAAATAATATTGCAAAAACTCCAAACCATGGTTCTGTAACCTATGACATGAATGAATGAAACAATGTTACATAACAGTAGATAAATTCTATTTATATAAATACTCATATAATTCCTACAAACGTAAATAAATTTTTACAATAGAATTTGCAGAAGAAGTTTACCATTGGAAACAGAGGAATTCCTTTGAAGAAGCATAATTGGGGAATGAGGCCATATATCATTAAGGCAACACCATACTGAGTTGTGGATGTGAAGTAGCAAAAGGTAAAGCAATGCATAATAGGCATTCTTGAAATCCCATAAGTGAAAGGGCTATACTTGGACACTCCTAGCAGGAAAAGTTCAGAACCCCATTTCACCATTTGAAGCATGCCCTCTTTAAAGTCAATGGGGGCACATCCCAAAAAACATGGTCTTTTGGGGTAAAGGTAAGTTGATCTCCACCCTCTGCAGTGGAGAAGATACCCAGTAACTGTACTCTCCAGTAATATAGCATATGAGAATCCTACCTGTTCATTCAATCAATTTACATTGACAAATTTATAATCTAATCTTTGAATCATCAAATCTTTATAATTTCAATAATAAGTTCATGTACATATACTTGCCTCTTCACCCCAATTTGTGTCTTTTTCATAGGAACAAGAGGCCACTGCTTGAGCTTCTTCCAAAATTACATCTCTTGGAATTTGCTTTTGGGTACTTTGATTTCCATAGATGATGGCCTTTAACGATTCAATGTACATGGTAGACTTGCCAAACTCTTTTGGCGCATTATGGTCAAAGACATCTACAATTATAAATGAAATTCACATGCACAATTAGAAATGAATGCTTGGAAAAAATTGAAAGAGTTGGTGAATGACAACCCTATCAGTCATTTATGGGCATATACCATTTTGATTTTGATTTGGGCTTTGAAGGTGTAGTGCACTTCTGCTTAGGTAACAACCACTACCAGCAAGACCTGGTCCTCTTAGTCCATCCATTCCTTGCCACATTGTCTGAAACAAATCACAATGCGTGATTCAACAATTGATCAAACCAGTTAAAATGAAAGAATAAAAAAGAAAAAGTTATGATCTTTTTACCGTAAAAGCACGCCTACTTTGACTATCATAGATGTCTTTCTTGCTAAGGTTGTGAAACATTTGAGGAAATTGGACAAAAGCAATGTCTTTGGAGGTTTCAAGATCAAGAAAAAAACACATGGCTTGTTTAGCTGAAGATGGATCATTGCAATACATATCACAGTCAACAACAAGCACATAAGGGCCATTACTCAATAGCCCTGAGACTCTCAGCTGAAACCACAGTTCATAAACTGTTATGTTCGATAAATACACTTCATAAATGAAAAATCAGACACAAAAGATCAAAAATTTAGAGAATACACACCAATGTATTCAGGGCTCCTCCTTTGTATCTATGAGGAATAGTTGGCCTTCTTTCACGAGACACATAAACCACCAATGGCATTTCTGATTGCTCATTCAGAATCTACAAAACAATACGTAACATTAAGTGTATTTTATGTTAAAAAGTAACCGATGTTAAAGATATTGTTTTGATTTATAATTATATTTATGTGCCTTACAACATTAGCTCTTAATTTCAACTAGAAAAGGTAATTAGTACCTCAATACGAGTTGGTCTATCCAACACAAGAGAACTATTTTTAGGGTCTCTTCCAAATATCTCAATATTTTTTTGCATATCTCTGTATTTAGCCTGCAAGATAGAAAAAACATCTAATGAGTTTCAAAGCTTATACTAAAATATGACAAAAGAAAAACATGATCTTACATTGGAAAAAGCAATATTAACATTATAAATTTCACATAAGTTTTGTTGGTGACAACTTTTTTTTTTTTTTGCAAATTTTGGGAGCTTCATCTTCGAATTGGCCATATTTTGATTTGTTTTTTTTAAAGCCACGTATTACTTGGAGTTGAATAAGTTTTTTATAAATATAAATTTGTATATGATAATTTTGTTAAAATGTTGATCATCTTTTTTCTTTGTATCAGTTTATATTTGATTTTACAAATAAAAATTGCTCTTTTTAGTCACCACATATATTGTTTTCTTTCCTCTTCATTGATCTCATTACAAACTATGAGTACGTGAAAAATAGGTTGCTGACGGATTTTTACAATCAAAATTTGGTTTTGCAATTTTAATTTTAAATACGACATTTTTAAAAATTTAAAATAAATAGATGATAAAACAAAACAATTGTTTAAAATCATGAACCCAAAATCAATAACGAGAACAGTTTTAAAATCTCCAAACCCAAACCCAAATTCAAGCTAAGAAATCCCCTAACTCCACAGAGAAACGAACACATAAGCATTCTCCTCATCACAAAATTTTGTAGGTAAAAAAAAATTATTAATTTCTTCAAGACTTCCATTTGTATATATAATGTTCTTAAAACTTAAAAATTATGAGTAATATAAAAAATTGTGATAATATAATGTTTAAAAAAAGTTTGTGTAAAATTTTCCAAAAATTGAGGTCTTGATGTAATTTAGAAAACTTCAAGACATATTAATGTAATTTATTTTATATTTAATGCTTTTAATTGTATTTAATATACAAAATAAAATAAAATTATTTACATTAACATTATTTATTGAATAACTTTAATCATAAAATATTATTTTGATAGTTTTTATTTATAAATAACAGTAAACAAAAGTTAAAATTTATATATATATATATAATTCATAACATTTCTTTTTAGTTAACATTAAAGATAAAATAGAAATAAAAATTAAGTACGTAATTAATCCATAAGAAAAATATAAATGAATTAATACAAAACATTCAAGTTAATGATGACTAAATAACTCCGATAATATGTGCTTTGTATTTTATATATTATTCCAAAGGCTAAAACATTTTAATAGATTATGTACTTGCAATGTAAAATATTTTTACCATATATACCAATCATATATTTTTTCACAGGTATTTTCAAAATTCTCTGAGAAGTTTTTAAATTCAACATTTAATGAATATATAAATTTTATCTTAATAGTTATTCCATATATTATCAATATATTATTTGGAATAAATTACATATTCATTAAATATTAAATATAAAAAACACTTAAATATTTGAGAAAATGTTTGATCATGATAATTTTGTTTTGTTTTACATTGATCACACGGATGTGGAAAAAAAAAACAAAAAGAAGAGAATGATTAAATTAAAAAAAATTGTTAAATTCATTGCCTTAGATTTTTATTTTCCCTTTTTTTATAGGTTAATAAAAATTATATATATATATATATATATGAATGATTATTCCTAAAATTTAAGAATAACTTCATAAAGAAAACTATTCACTACTGAAAAACCAGTTCAATCCCATGTTTAGTTCTAAAAAACATTTGAAAATTAGATATAATATGTAGCTTTTATTTTATTACATTTTATTATGTATTTGATATTCATCATATAACAAAACTATATAACATTATTAGATCATCCAAATAATAACATAATATGATATATAAGTCATATTTAAATGATAAAACTTTCTTGTAACATAATGACACATATTTTTTCAAATCGTTGACTTTAATACATTTAAAAAAAATTAAATATTAATTTAAATTTAAAAATTTGCATAAATAGACAAAAAAAGATAGAATAATCGTAAAATTCTTTAGCTCTATAAATATATAAGTTTGATAAGGATATAGCAGATTTTAAAACTATATTCTAATTATTAGATTTTCCCTTGAATATTCAAGTTAAAATAAAAAGAAAAGAATATCATTAAACATTAAAGATTTCAAGTTGTTGTCATATCCACCTTGAAAATTAATTAATAAATATATAAACTACGGAAATAAGTATTTAATTAACAATTGTAGAATTTTTAAATTGATTTTTGAATAATTCTTAAAGGGGTCATGTCATCGGATTTTCAAATGTTTGAAATTAGTTAACTTTTATTTATGTATAAACTTTATTTTTGTTTTTCCTTTTAGAAATAATTATGGAGTAATAACCGGTTAAACATACCATTAAACGAACCCTATACACTTAATAAGCTTCTCTAAACATTTCCAAATCGTCCCAAATTAATTGTCATTTCGTTTTACGATTTCAATATGTTCTTTAAGTCCATAGAGAATTATTAAAAAGTGTTTGTTTAAAATAAAATTAAAAGAAAAGTTTATGTAATTTTTTATTTTTAAAGTATACATAAATTAGAAGCTAATTTTTTTTATTTAATCTGTCTTTCAATTGTTGTATTTTCATCTTTCTATTGTCCTAACAAGTGACTATTCAAACTAATCTGAACACAAGCTTTTGAGTTTAGAGACCAAAAAGAAACCAAAATAGTTGAAGACAGTGAAAAAAATTAGAAACAGTTCCGAAACCATGTAAAGTGGACAGCATGCATACCTTGAGCCGTTCTTGCTCTGCCCTGAATCCGTCGCTGCGGAGGAGGTGTTCATCCTCCCCCATCGGAGAGAAGAACACCTTCGGACACCTCAACTTCACCCCATGCTTTCTGCAGAAAGGAACCCACTCTTTCGCGAACTCCACAGCCTCTCTCATCCCAAACAGAGTCACGGGACATCCACCGTCGTCGGAGAGATACACCGCCAGTTTCTCGGCGGGGTAATCCATGGCCATGGCGGAGATGACAGTGTCCATCACCTGCACGGTGGGCTCCTTCTGAGGGTCAAGCGTGCAGACGAAGATGTCCACCCCGGGCAGGTTGGCCTCGGTGGGCAGGTTCTCCGTGGCGACCGCGCGGGTGACCGGACGCCAGCGGAAGGCCTGGTTGTAGAGCCAGAGCTGGGCGAAGATGGCCTCGGCGAGCGTGATGAGAAGCCATGGGAGGGTTGGTTGGTGGAGAAGAAGGTTTACGCGGTAGTAAAATAGAGCGAAGAGTGAGAGTAAGTGGAAGAGAATGTGAAGCCTGGTAAGAGGCAGCCATGGATGAAGGGTCTGTGTGTGGAGGGTTGCCATGTCCAACGTGTCTCACGAGGGAACTCAGCCACTTCCTTTTCTTGCTCTATGAGCCTGCACTACCTGCAATCACCTTCTTTTAAATCAAGTGATGCTACCTTTCAAGAACCACATGATAATGATACTTTATTACATTAGAGTCCTAACTTTCAATGTCTTTTCATCATACTTTTCTATCTATGATTTCATCGTCTTTAATGTGATAAATCATTTTATTATATTACTGATTAATAAATAAGAGAGCTTCAAAAATATGTTATCAAGAAGAAAAAATTATTATAAATGGAGGAGAAGAGAAAAATTAAAAGAAATATAAAAGATGATAATTTATATATCTTCCTGTTACAAAGATAAAGTAATAAAACACATGCTTTAGCACGAGGCCATTATTTATTTTTATTATATTCCTCGCAGCTATTTTTTATGCAGATAATTTATTGAGTTGAATAAAATTATTATAAACAATAATAACCTCATTCCTCACGCATATAACACATTTTCATATTCAAAACTTCAACTCAATGTGATTAATCTGATAAATTTTAATGTCGATTGATTTTCTTTTATTTCTTAAAAACTGATCAAATCTTAGTCTTTCTTTTATTTTATTATATAGAAAGTACTTAGTCATAAAAAATAATAAATATAAAAAAACACATACTTTTCACGGTAGAATATATTAGAATATATTTATATTATATATATATATATATATATATATATATATATATATAAAATCCAAAAAGTAATATTGAGAACGACATGATAGTTGATACTACATGTACAATTGCTTTCATGCTATAAAATACTCAGTTATTGTTGTATCAGGTTAGTGATATATTAATTACTCTTTTATTATATTAATAATGTATGATTGGAAGTTTATTCAAATCAAGTGCAGAATCTTAGGTCAAACAAATCTGATTCATGATACCTTCAAGGTTGAAATCAACTACTACCTTTTAGCTTCGTAAATAACAACGTTCTTTTAATATTTTTTTTATCAATATTCTCATATTCTATGCCACAACATTTCATCCTAGAAAAATAAAACCTTTTTTCCTCAGTTGGATCTTCACGCATCAAACCCAATGCCCAATAGCTTTTTGATGTTTCCCGTGGTCATATATATATTAAAAAAAAAAAAAAACTTTTTTTTGAAGTTGTCCCAGTGAGAAGTTTATTACCTCCTGGTATTTTAGTTTAATAACTACAAGACATTTGTTCCATAATAAACATAGAAATATATAAACAACACAGTGGGAAGTTCAAGAAGTCATTGGAAGAAGTAGGAATCAAGATTATTAAAAAAATAGATATAAATTTAATTTAATGATGTAAAACTAATTTATAAGATGAAATCTATATCTGATTTAAATGTTTACCTTTTATACATTAGTGTTGTAAATTTGTTAGATTTTGCTTTTCTTAGAACTACAGTCCTTAGAGATAGAAGGAAAATATAAAATTATGACCACAATAAATTTTAGATCAAATTTTCTTAAATCGATAATATATAAATTATGTAAAATCATTTTGTCTTTCACTCCTAGTGCCACTGAAAATCATGTTAAAGTTCAACTAATTTAGTTTGTCTTTTATGATTAATAATCCACGTTCATCTAATAATAATTTTTAAATAGACTAAAGTTCCACGAGACTAACGTTAGTGTTATAAAAAATTCTAAAAGTGCTTTATAAACCCCCCCCCCTTTAGAAATTCCACCCATGATGTTATCCAATGGTTGTCTTTTCACTCTTTATGCAACTCTCTTACTATTTTAGAATTAACACATTTGCTAATAAATACAAAATCGTGTACAAAACATTATTTATCGGAAAAAAAAATTCTAATGATAATATAAAATTGGATTAGGATGACCCTAAATACAACCTATTCAAATAAGGGGTACTCATGAAATTTGATTAAAAAGAAGGGGGATTCATATGTAATATTTTAAAGTTTGGGAGGTATATGGGCATTAACGGTAAAAGTGAGGGGTACATAGTGGACTAAATCTTATTATTGCATGTCATTATTCTTGTTTCCTCTCTTTCTTATTATATTATATTGTAAATTTCTTAAAATTTGATGTAAATTTTCTTAGAAATTTATTGTGAATTTTTTTAGAAAACTTTGTAAAATTCAAAAGAAAATTATAAGAAAAATCATATTAAACATCTACTTTATCGAAAATAATCTACCATAAATAGAGATAAAAATTTTCCTTTAAAATTTAGGACATAATTTATTAATAAATTAAATTATATGTTTATTATATTTATTTTAATATGATTCGAAGTCTTACATTATTTAAGATTAAAGATAATTTATATACATCTTTTACTTTTAATTTATCGAGATACATAATATAAATGTGATGGATTAAAATTTTAAAGTTGATAATACCTTAAATGTGATAATAAACTCGAATGATCAAATTATAATATACACGAGTTCAAAATATTCTCTTTTTTAGATAGAACATTATTAGGATCGAGTTCAAATATGGTAATAAACTCTAATGATCTTATTATAATAGATATGAGGTCGATTTTCTTTTTTCTTTAGTTTTTTATTGAGAGATAATGTACACATGATCTTTTAGTTTAGTTTTTGACTGAACGATAGTATACTCATGAGTACGACATTATTTAGGATTTGAGATTAATGATAATTTATGTACATAATCTTCTTTTAATCCTAATAAAACATCTTTTAAAAATAAAAACATGACTTACTAAAATTAAAAAACCAATAATATCTCAAATATAATAATAAATATTAAAAATATTACCATAATGATAAGTTTTAATTTCTTACTTATATCTCATCTCATAAATAATATTTTTAATCATTATGAGATAATATTTTAGTTTGGAAGAAAAGACAAATCTCATAAAGTTAATAATTAATTATTTATCTTACTAAGATTTGTCTTTTCTTCTAATCTAAAATATTATCTCATAATAATTAAAGATATTTTTATGAGGTGAGGCATATATATATATATATATATATATATATATATATATATATATATATATATATATATATATAAAACGAAATTCTACATAACGAAATTATATGTCGGTGTTTACTTTCTAAGAGCACTACGTTTACCTTGAAAATCACCAAAAATTTCTTCTTTCTTCTTTTTACCAATAGTAGTTGAGTTCTCTTATTTCTGAGATAATATTATTATTGTTTTTTCTTTAAATTTGAAGAAAGTATTGTAATTTCTTCCGGTACCGGTAGTAAAATTATATTATTAACTATTGTTTGTTTTGTTTCTCTTTTCTCATCTTTTATTTTATTGTCTATTGTCTGTTTTGTTTCTCTTTTCTCATCTTTTATTTTATTGTCTGTTTTGTTTCTCTTTTCTTATCTTTTATTTTAGTTGAGTTTTTATACAGTTACTCTGATTTCTAACAGTGATATCAGAGTTGGTACATTTGAGTATGGTAGGTACTCATGACTACGACTCAATTGAGTATAGTAGATGAAATGTTCTTGTATCGGTATAAGTAAGATCATTACTAGGTACTCATAACTAAGAAATGTTTCCGCTCGAGGGAGGGGAAGTTATATCAATATAAAAGGAAATCACACTTGAGGGGTACTCATGGCTAAGAAATGTTTCTGCTCGAGGAGAGGGAATATATACCAATGTAAAAGAGAATCACACTTGAGGGGGAGATATTGAGAATTCAAGTGTGAGTTTGAAGTCTCACTTTGAGTAGAAATATGAAAGTTAAGTAGTTTATAAGTGAGAAAAATTCATAACCTAATGTGTTAAGGTTTTGGGTTGAAAATGGTATCATATTTTCTTATATGGTTGACTTATGTCCTATTTGTGAGAATCTCCACGTTGTTAGTCCCTCGAAAATACTCAACAATATATATATATATATATATATATATATATATATATATATATATATATATATATATATATATATATATATATTAAAACATGTAGCTTTTGATGTTCAATTACTACTGCATTATTTACCTTATAGTAACGAGGGAAGACTGCAGAATTATATAGCAGAAACATGAGTTAGGGCATGTTACATCATGACTATAGTATTAGTCAGCATCACTTATCCAAAAATCCCATAAGATTTTGAAACTCCAAATGAGATGTTGCATGAGCTGAATCCAAAAAAACAAATGAACGAGAAGATGAAAGTTTCTATGTACGAAGGAAAATTATTAGTCTCGGGGAAGCATTTAGAGTAGGGAATCCAAAGAAGGAGGGAACAAAAACCACTTTGAAAAGCCGCAAGTCCAGGGGCAGCCACAAAGCCACATTGCTTTCACAATCTTTCTTAGGGCATTTTTACTTCTTCACTGTAAACAAATCAAATCAAATCAAATTTAAGATGTGGAGGAAGCTCTTACAGAAATACCTTTCATGTAACTATCATTTTATCTATATATACGCCACAATCTACCTATCCTTTTCTGCACTTCTTTTCCTTTTCATCCAATTTTCTATACCAGAAAACCAATTTGTAATACCACACCATTATTCAATTAATTTCGTTATCATTTTACTTTTACGAAAGAAGATGCATGTGATCATAAATTTATTAATTATAGTCTTTTAGTATAAAGATATATTTCTGATTTTATTATATATAATTTCCTTACATGTAAATAGGGTTCATTTAGGTTTATTTGAATTTATATTTATTTAACTTTTCATGAGTTTTGAATTGTAATAATATTCAGTTATCATATTGATTAAGTTATAAACTATTTATAGTTAATATTTTTTGAACAATTAGTCTCTAGTCTTAACTACGAAAGTTTTAACTATAATTAAAAAATAAACTCTAAATATTTAGATTCAAAAAGTTATAATAACTTTTTTATTTTTGCCATTTCATAACTTTTTTTAGTATTAGTTCTCTTACGAATCTTTATTATGATATTTAAAGTTTTAAGAATAATAAATTATTCTAAATATATAAAATTAGTTGAGAGGTCTAATTTTCACCTCCGTTTTTATTAAAATAAAATAAAATAAAAAAATTTGACATGTATAGGTATTTTAAAGAATCGATACTATTTAATTGTATTAATTTTAAATTAAATGTCTTCTAAACTTCATATTTAAGACTACATAGGCTCAAGTAATTAATAAAGAGAACATAACTTGCTTGAATGCTATACCTACCAGACCTAATTATTTATCTAATCATTTAATCATAGTTTAAATGTCTCTCACGATACGATAATCTTCCCCTTTTTTCACCAAGATTCATGTAAATAAGAAACAAATTATATACACAATCATTAATAAGAATCACCACAAATCATGGATGAATTTTTTTTTTTTTATTAAATTTCATTCATGTTATAATTTATTGTGAATAACGTTAAATTATATTTTTAAAGAAAATGGATCTCTCTCTTTCTATATGGGCACATGTGTATGAGAGTATATAAAACTACGAGCGTGTATTTGCACGTGGCATTCAAATCTCCTTCAAAAGAATAATCAAATTATTATATTAGATTTTATGTTTTTTAGTATTACATGCAACAACGTCGTTTCCAAATACATGAAGTAGGTAATTATTTGCTCCGACAAATAAAAAAACTCTGATCATTGTTGAATTACGAGCAACTACATCAATAGTTTTGTAATTATAAATTACATTTCATTAAAGGCATTAAAAAAAATATTTTCAAAGAAATCAACTTTTTAAAATGCACCGATTCTTATCAACCTCAATCTCATATTGCTAAATACAGACATACTAAACATGTAATACGAAGTTGTGAAAATGAAAAACATATAATGCAAAGAAACAGTAAAATAAAATAAAAAATTATAATATAAGAACAGATATAAAATGATGAGAGGGTAGTGGAATTTGGTAGTGTAGGAGAAACCCTCCAATGAAATGCATGGTGGAGATATGGTGATAGCAAACACACACCAAACTTATAGTGGTTCGGTTAGTAAGGAACACCCAACGATAACTTTGCCCTTAAATATTCCTCCTTCTAAATTTCCAATATTATTTCATGATTTAATTTATAGTATCTCAAATTGTGAGACACTAGTTATGAATGTAGGTTTAATTTTTCACCAATATATGTTTAACATTATTATTATTATTATACTATTTGTTTCTATTGTTTCTCTTTTAGTATAGGTTGGTAAAAGATAAGTGAAGTAAATGATTATTTATTAGCATTAATGGCGCAATATCATAAGAGTGGCGAATAGAGATTAATTCTTTAACATTGTCTTTTTGTATTTGATAACACATTACACGTTACAGATATTAGGAGTCGTTTGATTTACCTTAAATTTAACATATTATTATTCAACATGTTACATTCATAATACAAAACAATTCATATATATATATATATATATTACTACCTTATCTCATTATTATGTTTCATATTCTACGATGTCGCTTACGAAATAAACTCTTCCTAAGCACAATTCTAAGTGGTGCCATAATTCTTATAATTTAAAAAAAAAACGAAAATAGATAGAATTAAATAATTATATTTAAATATACTATGTTTATTATAGTATTGGTATAGTTTTATATTGAAGAATACTTTATAAATTTTTAATTGGAAATAATATTATTATTCTAGTATTCATGTAAATAACTATTAAAATATTTTTTTAAGTGAGAATATTTAGAGAAAATTAATAATTATAAACATTTATTATAATAATTTATAAACAATTTCTTGAAACATGATTCATATATCAAGTTTTTATTTTATAATTGATTATACAAATTTGATTATATGTTACTATAACATTTAAAAAAATGAATTCCTCTCTCATAAAATAAATCCATCCCTAGATCACACACATCTACATAGGATTACATAGATATACAGGGGATCATTACTTATAAAATATTTTTTTAAAATTATTCTATATTTTTATCATTAATTTTCTAAGAATCATTAAACTTAAAACATAATAATGATAAGGATTGGCTTTAGATTCTTGACATGTTATTGAAAACAAGAGAGGTAGAAGAAAATCACCTTAGCATGCATTTGGGTATGAGAATGTACTCTTCAATATTTGGATGCCAAATAATGTCTCGATATTCTTGAAGGTTTTAGATCCTTCATCATAGATCAAATTTCCCTAATCGATTTAATATATATGGCCACATTTGTTTATCTTTTCCACCATAAAAAATCAGATAGCAAAGGAGACAAGAAATATAAAATTATGGTTGGGAAAAGGGATGATAAAAAGACAACTTAGAGAAATCAAGAGGTTGCGAAAGTCACTGTTTGGGAACTTGAACCACTAATTGGCAACTCTATTTAAACTTTAAAGCCTTTTGCAGCTCAGCACTTGCTGGATATTGCTTCTGATTCTGCAATCTTGATCAAAATTTTCTGTATATTTTACTTAGAGGATCTTCAAAGTTGATCCACCAAAATGAAGGTATGAAAAACTTGCTTTCTTTTGTGTTCACATTATTCTTCATTGCCAACTAGCATGCATCATGATCATGTGTCCCTTTGCAGATTTTTTATTGGATGCAAAACAGGATCAATGGGAGCAATGGTAAACAGAAACATACTAACTCGGTTTCTGCTACCCGTAAGCATTTTTTTTTCCTTGCTCTTTTCAGTCTCCTGTGAGAGTATCATTTTTGCCACAGTTTTTACATGGTTTAATACTCAGGTTTGATTATGACGTCGGCTAGCTATGAGTTTTGTTTCTAGATGCACATAATGATAAAATACTACTGTGTACAGAGTTAAGAACACAATAATGCTCACGGCTAAGAACAACAAAATAATGCTCACAGAATTAAGATTGGGTGGTGTCTACTATGTGTTGGGTAAACTTTGTTTATTTCTACAGGAAAATAAAGAAGTAAGCCACTTTGTTAGGTAGGTGAAGATTTGGGTAGAGTTTATAGGCTTCAATTATTATACTGTTTAATTTATCAAAAACGGTACAAGAGAAACACTTGGAAAAAATAATATTAATTATTCAGTTGAAATGTTTAGCCATTCTAACTTTGTGTTTGCCACTTTAAATAGTGAATTTGATGATTGATTTTTCTTCTTTCAGATTACATGAGGCATGAACCTTGCAAGCAAGAGTTCAGTGACTGGCCCCAAGCACTCCTTGCAATTGGAACGTTTGGGAGCAACATGAGAGAAGATTCGAGTGGAAGGGGTAACAACACCGCAGAGGATTCATCTTCCTTCAAGGATAGCACACAAGAGATCACGTTTGAAGAGGTTGCAAATCTTCAGAATGAGTTCAGCATATTCTTTAAGGGGAGGGTGGAACCAAATTTGGGAGGTGAACAAGAAGAACACACCAATGATCTGACCTTGGAATGTTTGAAAAGTGAGCATTCAAGGCTGGATTCTGAAGGTAAAGAAAATGAGTCTCTTTCTGATGGCTCCAATGCCAACGTTGGGAATTTCTACCCAAGCAAGAGTGTAATATTCAGCAGAGGAAAAGATTGTAGTTTGGATCATAGCAGTAAGAGAGGTGTTGGCAAGAAATCACTCTCTTTTCTTCTCAAGAAGATGCTTGCTTGCAAAAGTGGTTTTCAACCTACCCCTTTGTTCAGAGATCCAGTTTGCACTGAGTCCAGAATGGAGAAGGTAGATGGGAAGCCATGCAAATTAGCTTAATCGCTCCTTCAATTCTTTTAAGTTCCTTAGCTTACTCCTCTTACTTTGCATGTGATCACAGATTCTGAGGGCAATACTTAACAAAAAGATATATCCCCAAGGTTCATGTTCAAATACACCGTTCGTAAAGAAGTACCTTGAAGCCACACCAATGTCTCAGTTTGAAGATGATAAAGATTATGATGATGATAACGAAGAACTAGCTACTGTTGCAGAGAATGGAAGTAAATGGGTCAAGACTGATTCTGAATGTAAGCTTTACACATTTGTTTGATGACATAGTGCCTAAGTTCATGTAATCACGCTTGAGTTACTTGTTATCATATTAATCTCTTTATTTTCTAACAGATATTGTTCTTGAGATATGATTGGCTTCTTTTCCTGTATCTGTACTGTACCACTCTGATCATACATGCTCAACTTTCACATGGAAGCTAGTAGCATAAACAGCATGCAAGATGATGTAGTGTTCCTACTCTTTTGGATGTATGAATCATGCCAAGGAAAGCTGACAAACTGGAAGAAGAATCGAGAAAAGTTCCATGAAACTTTAATGTAGGCCATGAATGTCACAGAGCATAATCCAGTTTCTTATAGGAGATAAGATCTTAACTTCTATATTTGTAATAATTAAAGTGTGATTAACTCAACAATAACAAGCTTTTTTCTTCTTTTCTTTTTCAGCCTTGAAGGTTTTAGAGTATCTGTTCACGGATGATACACTATATATCGCATGGTTTTAATAATGTGGATCAATCGTAACCTGATATATATCGTTAAAATTTTCAATTCAAAAATAAAATTAAAAAAACTCGAATATCTGATAAAATTTAATTGGGCCATGGTAATTTTAGACCAGGATTTCGCTGTGGACATTATTTTCCAATCAGGTTCAGGAGTTAGCAGCATTAATATATTTTTATAGATTCATCAAGTTGGAAATTTCTAGACTCAATAAAAAGGAGAAAAAAATAGTGATCCTAAATGAACTCAAATAGAAATAAATATATTAAACAACAGGGTTTTTCTTTTAAGAATAATACAAGTAAAATAATGACAGAATTTTCAATTTCAATTTTTTTTCTTTTATAAAGATTAATTAACTTGATCTTACATTGTTTGGTTTAGTACACAAAGTCTCTAATTGCATATATTAAATGTCTTTTATTTTTTTTGAAGAATTAATATATTAGGAAAAGAAAGGTTGCACTGAGTTAGGCAGTCTCCTAAAAAAATAACAAGAAGGAAATTGAGGGTAAAAATAATTTCCCCTTTTCATTTCGTACTAATAGATATATAACAAAAGAGATTCTAAGAATCAATATGCATGATCCATGACCTCACTACGGACAATTCAACATAACTGATTAACTTTTAGAATATGCTAACACATGCAGATAAACATTTACTAATAATAAATAAATCCTGGAATCCCTTTAGATTTGTAGATTTGTCTTTTGGGCCTGATATCCTCATTTTCTTCAGTATTAAATGGGCCTTCATATGTAACATCACTATCCCCATCGGCAACAACCTTGTCCTCAAGGTTATAAGTAGATTGAAGGTTGGACCACTCTTCCCATGAAGTATCGTCAGGAGAAAGACCTTGCCACTGGACCAAGGCCATGCGTGTTGGGACTCCATTGACCATAGCAGTCTTGAAACCCAGAACAGTTAGTGGGGTTACAAGGGATGATTGGCATAAGAGTATGGGGGAAGAGAGTCAATGGTGCTAGGGGGAATACCCACATGAGCCTTCAAACTGAACTATGGAAAACATTGTGGATCTTGGAAGTGGCAGGTAAGTCAAGTTTGTAGGCAACTGGTCTGATTTTCTCTATTATGCGATAAGGCTCATATAAACGTTTGGACAACTTATGAAACTTGGAACCCGAAAGAGATGATTGACAATAGGGTTGGAGCTTAACATAAACCCAGGATCCCACCTCAAAATTGAGTTCTCTGCGCTTCAAGTCCGCATTCCTTTTCATCCGTTTTTGGGCTTTCAACAGATTATGCCGCAGGAGTGAGATAACTTCTTCACGTGAGGAGAGTAATGAATCACAACCAGCAACTTGAGAGGTGTCCAAATACTCAGGAATGGAAGGAGGTGGCTTGCCGAATATGATTTGGAATGGAGTAAGCTCTGAACCAGAGTGAACGGAGGTGTTATAATGGAACTCAACCCAAGGGAGGAATTTGAACCAATGTTGTGGTGTCTCATGAACAAAGGCTCGGAGGTATTGTTCAATTATGTGATTCATAACCTCTGTTTGACCATCGGTCTGAGGGTGGTATGATGAACTCATGCGGAGAAGGGTACCACTGAACTTGAACAAGTCTGACCAGAATCGGCTCATAAAAATTGGATCTCGATCTGAAACAATGCTCTTGGGCAACCCATGATGCTTACAGAACATAGAAACAAAGAGCTCAGCCACCTTATAAGTGAAAGTGGGAGGAAGAGCACCCAAATGAACCCCTTTTGAGAACCGACCCACTACCACAAAGATAACGGTGTAACCATGAGAGAGGTAACCTAGTAATAAAATCCATAGTAATGTCCTCCCACACATGTGAAGGAATAGGAAGGGGAACGAGGAGACCTCCGAATTGTTTGGTACTGTATTTTGTTTGCTGGCAAACTCTACACTGAGAGATAAAAGAGCGAACATCCTTTGCCATATTGCTCCAGTAAAAGTTGGGAGAGAGACGTTTAAGGGTCTTGTTCATACCCTCATGTCCCCCAATGGTAGATTCGTGGAATTCTTGCAAAAGCAGAGTGATGAATTTAGAAGAGGAACTCAACCAAATCTTGCCCTTGAATAGAATAAGACCCTCCAACACTTTCAAATGAGGCATTGAAGCGGGGTCAGCGATACACCGCTGTCGTAGGGAGAGGAATTATGTGTCTTGTAACAAGGATTGTTTCAAGTCATCTAAGAAGACAAATTGAGGCACAATGAGTACCTGCAATTCGCCGACTACTGGTCCAGTGGATCGGGAAAAAGCGTCGGCAACCACATTCAGTTTCCCGGGTTTGTACTGAATCTCATAGTCATAGCCAAGGAGCTTGGCCAAGTAATACTGCTGCTCTGGGGTCTGGATGACTTGAGTGAGGAGTTCCTTGAGGCTTTTCTGATCTGTTTGAATTATAAAGGAGGAATCCAATAGGTATTGGTGTCAACGTTTCACTCCACTGGTGACAGCATGAAGTTCCTGAATATAGGTCGATGCCTTGGTCATACGCAGACAAAAGAACTTGCTAAAATAGGCAATGGGGTGAGAGTCTTGGACCAGAACTGCACCCATTGTTGTACTCGATGCATCAGTCTGAATGAGGAAGAGCTTAGAGAAATTGGGCAAAACAAGAACAGAAGCCTTCGTCATAGATATTTTGAGATAATCAAAGGTCCTCTGAGCCTTTGGAGACCACTGAAAAGCCCCATTTTTCAACAGAGTAGTGAGAGGGTGGGCAATTGTAGCATAGCCTTTAACAAATCTGCGATAAAAGCCCGTCAATCCCAGGAAGCCACGCAAGCTCTTGAGAGAAGTGGGGGTTTGTCAATCCAGTATAGCTTGAATTTTGGCATGGTCAGGGGCCACAAAACCATCAGCAACCACATGACCCAGATAATCAACCTGAGACTGAGCAAAAGAGCACTTGGTGAGTTTCAGGTAGAACTGGTTATTGTGCAAAATATCAAACACCTGACGGAGGTGAATAACATGTTGCTCAAGTGTGGAACTGTAAACGAGAATATCGTCGAAGAAGACAATGACAGTCTTGCGGAGGAGTGGTCGGAAGATGTCATTCATGGTGGCTTAGAAGGTTTTTGGGGCATTACAAAGACCGAAGGGCACGACACGGTATTCATAATGGCCATCGTGAGTGCGAAATGCGGTCTTATGGACATCGGAAGGATGCAGCCTGATTTGATGAAAGCCAAATGTCAGGTCCAATTTAGAAAAAACAGCGAGCAAGCCTCAATTCATCAAGTAATTCATCGATTGTTGGAAGAGGGAAGCGGTCCTTGATTGTGAGTGTGTTCAATGCCCTATAATCAACACACATGCGTCAAGACCCATCCTTCTTGCGTAGTAAAAGAACTGGTGATGAAAAAGGGCTTGTACTAGGGGAGATGCAGCCCGAATCCAACATCTTCGAAATCTGCTTTTCAATTTCCAATTTATGCGTGTGAGGGCAGCGGTAAGGACGGACGTTAACTGGGTTGGCACCGGAGGCGAGAGGAATGTGGTGATCTGTGGCCCGTGGAGGTGGTAAACTTGTTGGTTCGTCGAAGAGGAAGGAGTAAGATTTAAGTAGTTGATGAATACTATCATTTGGGTGATAGAGGGAAGGAGGAATGGAGGGGTCAGGAGGAGAAGATAAAACCTGTAGGGAGAAGAATTGGGCCTCATGATCAGATCGAAGAAGGCGTTTAAGTTGGTGGAAAGAAATTGAGGAGGGTTGTTGTCCCGAATTCCCTTTCAACTCAACCAACTATTGGTGATAATAGAATTTCATAGTGAGGTTCTGGTAGTCCATCAGAACTGGGCCTAAATCTTTTAGCCATTGGGCCCCAAGCACAATATCAGATCCACCACCCATGTCAAGGATATACAAGTCAACAATGAACTCTTGGTCCTGAATGTTTAAAGCTGCCCCAGGACAAAATTGATCACATGTTAATTTCTCTCCGCTACCTACAAGAACCTGCAGAGGAGTCGTGGAATGACGAGGCAACCCCAAAAGGAGAGCAACCTTAAGTTGGATGAAATTGTGAGTACTTCCCCCATCAACAAGTATACGCACTTGGTATTGGGCCAACAAACCCAAAATATGAAGAGTCTCAGGATTGTCGGTCCCCGTGAGAGCATTGGACCGTCTAAATAGAATGAAGCAACTATGATACGTTCCTCCTCCGCTGTGTTGTGATAGTCAAAGAATTGGGTAATTTTGAAAATCCAACCTAGAGCATCGGTGTCGTCGAAGAGGGGAACATCGAGCTTGAGGAAGTGGCGTTGGGAAGAAGAGGAGTCGTGAGTGGGAAATGGAGGAGGAGAGGAAGGAGGGGAGGAGTTGTGTTGTTCGAGGACGGAAAGGCGATGACCCACTTGAATTGGGTATTAACAGAGTCTTGAAAAAGGGAGAGTTGATGGAGCATTTCATCCAATTTCTCATATTGGGTTTTGGAGCGGGTCCCGTCAGCCATGTGTGAGTTGTAATGAAAACACCAGTATTAGGAAAAGAAAGGTTGCACTGATTTAGAGGACAGGCAGCCTCCTAAAAAAAATAACAAGAAGGGAATTGAAGGTAAAAATATTCTCCCCTTTTCATTTCGTACTAACAGATATATAACAGAAGAGATTCTAACAATCAATATGCATGGTCCATGACCTCACTACGGACAATTCAACATAACTGATTAACTTCTAGAATATGCTAACACATGCAAATAAACATTTACTAATAATAAATAAATCCTAGAATCCCTTTAGATTTGTGGATTTGTCTTTTAGGCCTAATATCCTCATTTTCTTCAGTATTAAGTAGACCTTCATATGTAACATAATATGTTGATTACTTAAAAATATAAGAAAAACCCAAGATTAAAAAATAAACATGTAAAGTGACCAAATTGCAGATAGCAATTCGTTAAAAGCAATAGATATACACACAATTTTTTCATGGATTTCTCTATTGGTATAATTACCTTCTAAAATCCTTGCCACAACTTTTCTGTCAACAAGCTTGTTATGTTGAAATTGTTAGGCCAGAGAATCAAAACTTTTGGCATGGAACAAAGGTAAATGTGTGTTTCAGTGTTGTATTTTTCTGTTATTGCAAAGAATATGAAATGAACTTATTCAGCTCAGTGATGATCTTCATTTTGTTTTATTTAATTACAGAACCTAGTGAATGTAAAAGAGATTATCTCAGTGACTCCATGATGTTAGAGAACATCCAAACTTACCAAAAGCCACAAATATTGAGTGCCATTTTCTCTACAATTGCCACTATGGGTTAGCGTGAAAGGGTGAGTTGACTCGGGAAAGAGTTATGAGTTAGCTTCGGGATATGGCCTTTGCCTCGGATTATCCAATAAATTGGAACTGTTGATGCATGGGAGGGACAAACTTGAGAAATTAGCCCTTTATAATCTCAGTTTCTTTACCATTTTCTGAACGAGAGAGTACAAAAGAACTGAATTTATGATGGATGAAGGTGAAAGCATTACCCTCTTTATTTGAACGAATATGTTATTTATTAGAAGATGTGACATTTGACAGGTTAACTTCATCAATCAACAATATTATGCAATTGATACATCCTCATGTAAGCGAACACAAAACGCTTCAAACTGTCCCAGAGCAACCATTCCCTGAAACAAGCACTTATGCCAAGTACTGCCCTTCATTTCTGACACTACCAGAACTTCATTGAAGACTGCATTGTTGGTCCCTACCATATTTGTTAACTAAGGTTCTGTTTGGGAATTACTTGAACTTGAACTTGGATGAACATTCTTCAGTGATTATTGGGTTGAATGTACAAATCAATTGATGAAAATAGCAAACAAGCACCTATGCGAAATCGCAATCATGTTGAAAATTACAACGAATATGATTATAACAATTCTTTCAAAGGATCATGAAATAAATTATTTTCTGCTTCACCTTCCTTGTTGAGCTTCATTTCTTGCTTCATCCTTGGCCTGCCTCAAGATGCAGAAATAGTTGGAAGATTTGAAGTTAACATCACTTGGTTGAAATAAACAAGACGGTGTAGGATGCATATAGATTATTGGGGGTTGAATTATGGAATATCAAGGGTGTGATGTATGACCAATAATTGAGGCATGAAATAAAACTAGTTTTAGAATTGAGGGTACATTGATGAAGGTATGAATCTGCAATATACAAATTCATATACACGACAAGGATTTGGGACCAGTGGAATAAGCTCCTCGCACATAACAATTTCATTCAAGATTTTATTTGTAAAAGATATGTGGATGAATTAAGGGAATAGGATATTTACATATTACTGGGAATCGACTCCTAAGACATAATCTAGAAAAATCCTTGCAATTATTCCCACTAAAATTAAGTCTTTATTAATTTGAGGGATGATGTCAAAAAATGAGATTTGAATACACTTGCAAGGGCAGATATAAGCTTAATAAAGAGGCTAAAGCTTGTGGTTTTGATATTTTTTTCCTTTCTAAAGGGCAAAATAATGAGACACGCCTCAAGCTATCTTGTTTCGAAAAAATCATTACCATATGAAACTATCAAAACCTTTCACCCTTTCTACTCTTCTTTCTCCCATTCTTCTCTGTTCCGTGTTTCCTCTTGCAGAAAGTCACTGTTTAGCGTTTAATACTTTGCTCTCAGATGATTATTAATGAAACTGGTGAAGCATAGGATCAAGAACATTTCCACTCCCAAGGCCTGCAATTGTCATCTAGAAAAAGAACCCGAACTAAGCTAGCTTATTGGCATATCTTTAAACCTGTACCTCATCTATCCTTCTAGTAGCTTCCTTCATCTTTAGCCTCTGGTCAGAGTCGATTTCGGTGCAAGCAACCCCAATACGGAGAAGTTGCAGCATCTGATTGCGCGAATTCGTGTCGGTTGGCAACTCTGCATCGATCAACTCGGCTTCTCTTCCCTCAGAAAGTGCAGTGTGAGCCCATTGCACAACATCAGTCCCACCCTTGCCATTGCTGTGATACTGGGCAGGGAACTTGCCTGTGATGACTTCAAGAATGAGGATTCCAAGGCAGTAAACATCAGTCTTCTGTGTAACTTTCTGGTTCTGCACATAGTCTGGGGTTTTGAAGGCAAACAATGCCTGCACTGCAACGCTATGGTTGAGCAGTGGCTGAAAGGCATAGTCACTCAAGAGAGGCTCATAGTCATTAGTTAGCAGAACATTTGAAGACTTGAGGTTTCCATGGGGCAAGTCGTAGGTGGAAAATTCATTGTAAAGGAAGTTCAACCCTCTTGCAATTCCCTTAACAATCTTCAAACGGGTTGGCCAAGTCAGTTCAGAATGGGATAGGCCTCTATCACCTGCAAGGACACCAATAACAACACCCTCCTTAACACATTTTAACCTACTTCTTTCCTCAAAATAAATAAAAATTAATAATAAAAGTAGTGATAGAATTTGAATTGGTGATGAAATAAGTATAAAAGGTGCAATTGTGGGTGGTAGAGTGGCACGTACCATGCAAGACATACATCAAGCTACCTTTGGGCATGTACTCGGTGATGAAGAGCTTCTCCTCCCTACGGTAGTGGTAAGCGAGGGGCGTCATGATGTTACGGTGTCGTATCCTTCCGAACTGCCTCATCTCGGCGTCGAACACGTCCTTCCCAATCTTATTCATCTCCCTCATCCTCTTCACCACAACGCATAACCCATTCGCCATCGCCGCCTTGTACGCCGACCCCAAACCCCCGTTCCCCAGCACCTCCGCCGCAGCCTTCATCATGTCCTGCAGCACAAACACCCCCCTTTCCACGTTCACCATCACTATGTCCCCCCTCTTGTTCTCCCTCTTCTCCACCGTGCTACCCCTCACGCTCGGCACCTGCACCTCCAACATCTCCTCCGCGCTGTTGCTCCTGCTCACCGCCGTGAAATCGCTCCGCCGCCTCCGCGTCAAGAACAGAAACATCAACGCCGCTACCAGCACCACCACCATCACCACAATCACCTTCCTCGCCCAGCTACTCCCGTACTCCTCCTGCCCCACTTTGCTCGCCACCGAGTACGACTGGGCAGAGCCCTCGCACGCCTTCTCCACCGGCTTCCCGCACAGACCGGTGTTTCCGACGAAAGAGTCAACGGTGAACCTCGCCAGATTGTCGGGAATGGGGCCTTCAAGTTTGTTGAAGGAGAGGTCCAGCGATGTTAGGTCTTGGGTGAAACTGGGGATTTCACCGGAGAAGGAGTTGTACTCGAGGTGGAGCTCTTTGAGGAGGTCGAGCTGGATCAGCGATTGGGGGATTTTCCCGGAGAAGTTGTTACCGGAGAGCCAGAGTTTCTTGAGGGAGTTCATTGGGGAGAAGAAGTCATTTGGGATGGGCCCGGAGAAGCTGTTTTCCGTTAAAAGGAGGGACTTTATGGAGCCCAGTTTGTTGAACTCGGGGATTGGGCCCGTGAAGGAGTTGTTGATAAAGCTGAGCGTTCTGAGGCCGCGAATCTCCGCCAGGGCGTCGACGTCGATTCGGCCCGAGAGGCCCAGGTCGGAGAGACGCAGGCCCGTGACGATGCCGTTGAAGCATACAACGCCTAGCCACGTGCCGGAGCAAGGCGAGACGTTGGGGATCCACGAGGCGAGGGTACGATCGGTGTTGGTGAGGGATTGCTTGAGACGGAGGAGGGATTCAGTTTCGGTTGAAGAAGAGAGAGAGAAGAAGAAGGAAAAGAAGGAGAAGAAGAACAGAACGAGGAGGTTGTGGTGAAGGCGAACAGCGGCCATTTCGTCGTTGTTGGAACAATGGACCGCTGCTCGTAGAGATTAAGGTTGTTTTTTAGTTTGTGTGGGGGATGTTTGCTTTGGTGTTGGGTTTGGGAAGGGAAAGTGAGGTAGGGCGTCATGTTGGAAATGTGGTTAGTGTGGTTTTTGGGTGTGAGAGAGGAGAGAGAGAGGAGAGGGAGAGGAGATGGGTGATGATGGTGTGTTTTGCCAGAAATGCCGTCGGGGATTCTAAGAATAGAAGGAGGTTGCACTCGACGTGGTTGTCCTTTGGTTCCTTCCGATATGTTTGGAGTTGGTGATACACACTTTTGTTTCCTCACGTGCATTTCGGGTTGCACACTTACAGGTCTCAAATTATCCTTTTTCTCCAAAATTTACTTTCTTTTTATGACCATATTTAAGTTAGTTTTTTAACTTTTTTTTTCCTCTTAGTTTAGTACCATTCTCTGCCCTTATCAAATGTCTGTTACGAGTTAAGGGCAAATATCTTTTACATATCAATATGAACCTCAAAAAGAGAGATGAGGAGTCAAATTTATTTTAAGAGTTGGGATCGATGTGCAAAACATTTTGGATATAGATAATGTAATGCTTCTTGTAGTTTAAAAAGAACAATAAAAAAAGCAATAATGATTTCATTTTATAAAACTCGCATGAAGAAACAAAGTACATGTTTTAAGTAAATAACTGACAGTGTGATGCCATGATTTCAGTCCAGATTCATATCTTCTTCCTTTCAAGCTCTGTTTACACAACACTACCGCGTGAAAGCCTGCATTTTCCAAGGAAGCAAATTTTCAAAATTTGTATTACTATTTTTATTTTATTACTATTTACTCACTTTTTTTAAGTATTTTGAAGAAATTAAGTAGGAGGGTGTGAATAGAATAAAAAAGAAGAGAAAATTACAGAGAAAATGTTGCAGTGACCAGGATCAGCAAGGTGTGCCATCAAATTTTCAATGGGTCCTTCCCCAGTGTAAATAGCTTGGAACCAGAACCCTACAAATGCAAGCATTGCAAGTCTTCCATTCTTTATCTCCTTCGTCCTCAACACCATCACTGGCTCAGGTGACCCACGCCCCCACATCATCGGGTCAAACCACAACCCACCCGGGTACCCAACATCGGGCTTCGGGTTCGTAATGTGAGGCACTTTGGGCTCAATGTCAACGCATCCTGGGTTAAGCATGTCGGCCCATCTTCGTCCCTCCACCCAGCCCATCAGGCCCATTTGCACAATGAACAATGTTGTCTGGTCCGTAAAATACTCTCGCGCTCCAGCATCGTACCAGTTGAAGTTCTCTATGTAACCAATTTTTTCCAGCAATTCTGGAACCAAAATTCCGAACACCGCAAGCATTGCCCATCTTGCATGCATTAGTTCAGCTTGAGCGAACCACTTCAGCAACTCTGGATCAGACCCTAACCAAAAACACAAACATAAACACGAATCAAAACAACCACATGGGTTTTAGTGGAACACAACAATGTACACAACTTCAAAGAGTAAACAAACCAACGAGTGTATACCTAATCCAAGAGGGTCAAAACCAAAGTCCCCAGGAAGACTGCAATAGACACAAAATTGAAGCAGTTAAGTCAAATTACATGTTATTCATGATTAATTCATAGTGGACATTGTAATTCGCACGGAACTATTATACATTTACAAACAAACATATAAAATTGTTCATTTTTATAACGATTGTTAAACGTTGAATGAATAATGATTTATAATCAAATCAAGATCTCAAATCCTTTATCCTATGTGTATTCAGACAGTTAAAAATATGATCAGTCTGAACAAAATAAACAGAAATTTGGGTCAAAAGTTGAAGAAAAATTTTGTGGAAGGATATACAAACCTGCCATCAAGCCACCCAGGAGGTGAACTACCAGGGAACCACAATGGCCTATCTGGAGGAAGTGGCTCACATACAGCTGACACTCCTTTTGTTGCATTTGCAGTTGTTCTTCTGCTCAAACCCAACCACGTACCTGTTCTTTCAACCAAATTAACTTTTTGACGAATTTCTCTGCATTCAAAGAAAATAACAGAGAGTTCAGGAGCAACAACAGAGTGTAGAAAATGGTTCAAGTGGTTGAGCCAAAAGGGAAAAACCTGCTTGGAAGCGTTGACAATGCGGTGGAGGAAACTGCTAAAGCCATGAATGAGATGAGAGAAAGTTTGTGTTTTGTGAGGCTTTATCTGCTACATCCAGATGATGTATAAGCTGTGTGATATTCTTCTGCTTGGAACCAAAATATTAAATGAAAGTCAATGGTATTTGAAACCCACACGTGGCATGGATAATGGTAAGATAGATAATAGGAGTATATTTTCGTGGAGAGATATTTCATTGTTAACTTGATATTTTCTTCAAAAATCTTGTTGAAATAATTTCAAAAACTAAACCTCAAAAAAGAACGAAGTAATAGTAATTTGAATACTGTTTCATTTTATATATGATAAATATTTTATTAATTTCGTATATTATTTTTAATCGTTTAAACGTGACATAGAAAATTGAAATTCAATTATCAATAGTTGAAGAAAATGTAATGTTAGAAAATAAGGACAATGTCTCGATTTTTTACTGATATAAGATTTATATATTCTATATCCTATTATGATATGATAATAATAAATTAATTTTTATATTTAAGATATTATTTATTTTGAAATTAAAATTTTTTTTATTATCGTTTTATCTTTAAAAATGAATCTGAGAATATACATAAACTATTTTTTATTTAAATAATAAATAGAAAAAAATAATATATATATTTAAATGATATAATCTGTGACACATTATCAATTTGAAATGATATAATAGAAATCCTTCTCGATGACAACATTAATGTAGGCCTATATGTCTCAGTAATGTGGTGAAGAATAAAATCTCTTTACACCGTTAAAACTAAATTATAGAAATAACATAATTGATTTACTTTTAAAACATAAGGGACTTGGTTGAATTTTTAAAAATTACTAGGACCAAATTAATTGAACACTTTAATTTAATAAAAAAAATGCCAAAAATATAATTAAGCATGCTCATTAAAAATTAAATAACTGAAAATAATTGCAACAATTTACTGGTGATAAATAAAATTTAAACAAAAATATTTACAACCAAAATTGTGAATGACAAATATGTTTCAAAAGTTAATAATTTCTTTTAATTAGTTAAATGTTTTCTAACAACTCGCCTTTTTTTCTATTTGTAATATTTTAATTTATTTTTAATATTTCTTTTAGCACTGAAATTAATCACAAATAATTAGGTGATCAGAATATTTTTAATGTCTTATTTTTATGTTGCAAATTCTTTCATTTAAAAACAAAAATATCTTTAAAAAAACATCTTAATAGATTAAAAAGGATAAAAATATATATAAATTATCTTGATCTACCTCTAAACAAGTTTATCGAACAAAAATTATACTCTGATTGGATGAATGAGTTTTAATGGTGTATCTAATATTGATAGATCTCCATCACATGACGCAAATAAATTGCAATCTAAGAAAACCAAGTTGCTTTGTCACTTTCACCATTATTATTTCACAAGAGTAGCAAACAGTTATACCTGTAAGGAACTAATTGACATGCATGTTCAATTTTTCAAAATAATTTCCACCAACATTATAATGTAAACAAGTGTCTTATGTATTCATTGTTGCCAAAAATTGTTTAAGATTTTTTATATTAAATAGTTGTTCAAATTACATCATGTAAACTTGGCATTGACTTTAAAAAAAATGAAATTCTTGTGAACAAGACATTCACTAATTTGGTGAGCTAACATGCATGATAATGTGTTGGGTTTGGATCAACTTCTCCAATATCCTCCCCCTAGAAAGTGAGAAGATAATAATTAATTATTTTTCTTTAATTTATGAATAAATAACTCAGAATATTTTGATTAAAATGTAACCTAGATGCTTTATTCATATTTTAATTTCCTTAATTTTAAATTTTTTTATTTTATTTTAAAGAAACATAATCTCAGATAAAAAGGGAAATACATAAATAGTTTTTTTTACCACAAAATAAGATGAATATTTCGCAAAAAAAAAAAAAGTGAATATTTCACTTTAAAAAAATCGACACGACACTATAATTAAATGTATCTCAAGAGGATTAAAATTCAACAAATAACTCAAACTTTTTACATACAAAAAATATTAGTTAAATCCACTTTTAATTATTTAGGTGAAAATTTTACTTTCTATAAAAAATAATTTTTAAAAGTAATTATTTTTAATAAAAATTAACAGTTTGAACTCATTATTAATTACTAAAAAAAATTATTAACATATAAAAGTATTAAACCTAGTCATTAATATTTTACATATATAAACAATTGTATACTATTATTAATATTAAGAATGTGTCAGCATTTTTTGTTAACCATAACGTTAAATCTAGTCATTGATATTTTACGTGAATCAATAATTAATAATATTTTCATTAACAACGTCTAACGCTTTTTATTATGAATAATAAAAATGACAAATTAATTGTGAAGCATATTTGTTTAATATTAAAATATAAAATCTATAATCAACTGTGTATAAAAATCGAAATGCATATTATCAACATTTAAGGTTTTATTTTTTTAAATATCATGTTACTTTCTCTTTTGTTTTTTTTAATGTGACTGATTAGATAAATTTCCACTTCCTCATTCCTTCTCTTTATTTATTTTTTAAATTGAGAATTATGTATATATATGTGTGTGTGACAACTTGGAATTCCGAATCCCGAATCCTCAGGCAGCATCCATAGTCTTGCTTGCAAATTGCAAATGTTGTATCGTTGTCGTAGGAAACATATCTTTCAGTTTCAGTTCCAAGTGTTCTATCAGTGTGCAGTGCTTGCCTTTGAAAACACTCCACCAATCATCACCCAATTCTGACTACTACTACTACAACGATCCCTCCAAAACCAACCCACGTAAGCCAAGCAACAACCCCACTTCCTTAAACAAAGCACACGACAGTTTTCCAAGCAACCCACGTAGCCTAATCAGTTGTCAAAAATGGTAGAGAATTCAGGGGTACTCGGGTGGTTCCTCCTCAGCCCCAAAACGGCACCTTTCGCTTCTCACAAGACCCTCTTCGCGTTCCTCTGGGCGGCGGCGCTGACCTCGCTTTTCGTGTGGCAGAGGAACACGATCAGCGGGTTTCTGGTGCTGGGCGGTGTTCAGGTGCGGCCGCCGCCGAAGCTGCGGCCGGTGGTTTTCTCTTTGACGGAGTTTGGTGGGGTTGGTGACGGCGTTACTCTCAACACTGAGGCGTTTGAGAGAGGCGTTAGGGCCATTTCCAAGTTCGGGAATAAGGGTGGTGGCCAACTCAATGTGCCACCTGGACGTTGGCTCACTGCACCCTTCAACCTCACCAGTCACATGACTCTTTTTCTTGCTCGTGATGCTGTTATACTCGCAATTCAGGTGGTTTTTTTTTATTCTTCTTTCAAATCTCAATTCAATGGTAATATTATACTTGATTTTGATGGAAAGAGTTTGTGTCTGAAAAAGATACATATCAAAAATAATTTTTTTATGATTCTATTTTGATAATGATAAAGAAGAACTATCATTAATATCCACCCATTTTGTGGTGGATAGAGACTGCAAAAGGAGAAAACAAAACTAAAATAGACAGAAACTGATAAAAAAAAAAGGAAGAGAGGTGGGGAAAAATAAGCTGAAAATGAAATAGAAAAGAAAGTGAGTATATATCTACTTATAATTTTACCAAAAAAGCTGTTACAATGACTCGGGGTGGTTTACCCACATACTCGTTATATAATATGCGTTCTGCTGCATTTTATCATTGACCTTTTCAGTCTTAATGTTCCTCTCTCACTTGATTAAAACTTTTTACTTACTTTTATATTTGTGATCTTGTGTGATGATTACCAGGACGAAAAGTATTGGCCACTGATGCCTGCATTACCTTCGTATGGTTATGGAAGGGAGCATCCTGGGCCTCGATATACCAGTTTGATCCATGGTCAAAATCTTATAGATGTTGTCATAACAGGTCAGGATCAAAAAGTTATCATCTGCTCTTGAGGATAAAACTTTTACATAAAATCAAAATATAATCTAAATGGTATATCTTAAGGAAAAGAAGGAAAATCAAAAGATTGTCTATTGATCCCTTGATGTTAGAGTCTCAAAGAAAATAATACGGTCCAACTCTTTGTGATACCAAATGAAGCACTATAGTTTATAACTTCTGCTTTTGGACAGAGTAGGTTACAAATGTAACTTAAGTTTCAAGTTTGTGAATTTATATGAATCTACACTTTTTTTATATATGGTGGAAAACCAGTTCTAGAGTTTTAACTCATTTATTTTTTAAACCACCTCGTTGCTATAGATATACACCCCAAAGATAGCATAAATCCTTGTTGAGTATCATCAGTCTTCATGAATCAGAAACTGATTGTTTAATCAACCATCCCAAATGCCATTATATTAGGCGGCGACAAGTATGTCCGTCACTAAAGTTTATTTGATTATTTGAAGATAATTTGATTGCACTACATGAACTAGGTAGAGTACTCAGAGAACTTGTGATCAAGGTGAACTAATTAGGAGCCTGACATGACAAGGATAAACAAAATTGGCTGCCACAGTACTGAGCTCTTTTACTTTTCTTTGTGTAATACTTACTCTATGTTTCTCTTGTTTACAGGGCATAATGGTACCATCAATGGACAGGGACAAACATGGTGGACAAAATATCGTCAGAAGCTTCTGAACCACACCAGGGGGCCACTTGTTCAGATATTATGGTCTAGTAACATTGTGATCTCAAATATTACTTTGCGTGACTCTCCTTTTTGGACACTTCATCCATATGACTGCAAAAATGTTACAGTAAAAAATGTTACTATATTGGCTCCTGTATATCGCGCTCCAAACACTGATGGCATAGATCCTGGCAAGTGTCTCTACTAAAAGCTATATCAAATTTCATATCTTAATATATCATGTGCTGTTTATTTCTATCCCTTGCATTAAATTACTAATTCATGATGGGAGAGGCTTTCATCTTGATGGCTTCCAAATAAACAAACTTAGAAGAGATTACATGATCTGGCTTACTATCTTTCCATCTGTTAATAACTCATCCGGCAAATGTTCCTGTTATCATGACAAAACGATATCTGGAATGCTCTCTCTGAATTAAATCAATGAGAATCCCTGTTTGATTACCTGTTCAGTTCATTACTGTTGTATGATTAATTTTCAGAAGTCTCAGTTTCTATGCTATGAACAGATTCTTGTGAGGATATGTTGATAGAGGACTGTTACATAAGTGTGGGGGATGATGCAATTGCAATAAAAAGTGGTTGGGATCAATATGGAATTACTTATGGAAGGCCTTCAAAGAATATAGTGCTCCGAAACCTTGTTGTTCGCTCTAATGTCAGGTGAAGTGAACTCCTAACTCAAGTCACTTTAACTTATATCTCTCAAAAAATTGGTTTTTCGTCCCTTTTTTCCATTCTGTATTTCTCCATAAACGGAGAAGACATAGCTACAGTGATAATGATAGATGTTCTAGTTCCTAATTTATACTCAGGAATACAATAAAATCAGAAATTTATCCAAAATAAATAGGAAACGAATCATATCATAGATTCTGATTAACACTTGTTGCATCTCATTCAGCATCTTATTGATCATGCTTGCTCACAGGCTGCAGCCATATATTATTTTTTCCTTATTTGTATGTTAGATTACTGATGATGAAATGTATCATATGATTTAAGGCATCGAATTTTCCTGAATCTTCATACTGTTTTCAATCATGGAAACACAAGCACTGTTTGTCCATGATTATAATTTCTTTAACCTATACCAACTCATCCATGTATCCCAGACCTTAGTTGTCAGTAAGTTTTGAGATTTTGTTGTTCTACAATACCAAATAAATTCAATGGCATGATGTGGTCCATAGGCTTCAAGTAGCCTACATATGATGAATGATCTAATGTGTGAAATGCAACAGTGCTGGCATCTCGATAGGCAGTGAGATGTCTGGTGGGGTATCCAACGTCCTGGTGGAGAACATTCTGGTATGGGAATCAAGGCGTGCCATGAGAATCAAGACTGCACCAGGAAGAGGTGGATATGTGCGCCAAATAACATACAGGAACCTAGTGTTCAAAAACGTGCGTGTTGGAATTGTGATCAAGACAGATTACAACGAACACCCTGGTGCTGGATACGATCCTAAAGCATTTCCAATACTCAGAGACATAAGCTTCATCAATATCCGTGGCCAAGGAGTACGTGTGCCTGTTCGAATTCAAGGCAGTGAACAGATTCCAATAAGAAATGTGACATTCCGTGGCATGAAGGTTGGCACAACCTACAAGAAGAAGCATATCTTCCAGTGTGCCTTTGTCCAAGGTCAGGTAATAGGGACCATCTCTCCTGCTCCATGTGACAGCTTTGATAGGTACGATGAACAAGGGCAGCTTGTAAAGCATGCTGCTTCACAGAATGTGACAGATATAGATTATGAAATTTGAGGTGTCTGAACTCAATTAATGTCAGGGGTTGGAAGCAGTGAGGTCTTACCTCTCGTGTGCTTGTGTGTATATAAAGGGTGTGTTCAATGAAGTAATCTTGGTGATGAGTTGTATATAGGGAAAATTTTCAGATGCTTATATAAATTTCCCAGAATTACAAAAATGCATAAGCTGCATGCTCATTTTTGAGGATTTATTGCTAGTATATTATGTTGCTTATTTTGTCTATGTTGCTATCTTTAGAAGAAAAACATAATACTGTGATATACCAGTGAAGAACAAGGATGCTATTCTGTTTTATTTCTCAAGTTACTTAGAGGCCAATATCCAGATATCTTGAAATTTAAAAGAAAAAAAAGTAAACTTTTAAGAAGACAACTCATTCTCTAAAAAAAGTAAAAGAATCTTCCAAAATTTTAGTTTTGGAACTGTTTACTCCTTGTCTTTTTCTTTATTTCAAACCTCAAAAGCACAAGAATAACAGAGAGCTTTTTCTTTCTGAAATTCTATTCTTAGTTACGCTAAGGTGTTTTCATATCTCAAATTTTAAATTGAGTATTTAGGTACGCAAAATTTATGATTTATCCATTTTTTTAAATCTTTTGGATTGTTGAATTGTTAAAATTAAATTAAATGGTTGATTTTTATAGTTCTTTATCACTTTGATTAGATTTAACTTATTTAATTTTTATTTGGTCTTTTATGTTTTTCAAATGAATCAGGAGATTATTTATCATATCTAAATGTCAATAAACTCATTAAATATGGAGTAATTTAGATACTAGAAATATTTAGTTATTATATTGATTAATTTATAAACTATTTTAGTTAAATTGATTTTTAAATCAAAATTTAAATTTGTTTTTAACATTAGATACCAAAAGTTAAAGCTCAAGCAGTTAATATTAGAGAGAGACCAATTTAGGAGGAAGGGATAAAAATTAGGAGAGAAAGATGAGAAAGGTGGGATGGAAAAAAGAACAAGGAATTCAAAATAATTAAAGTGATAGTTCAAAATCATCATTATTTAATGAAAATATTTTTAAAATAGATTTTAATGATTATATTTAAAATAATAATATGTTTAAATTATTTATGAAATTAATTCTAAATTTACATTCGACGATTTTTATTCTTTTAAAAAAGATAAACAACTAAAAGTATAATTTAATCCTTTATAGTGAAAATATCTTAAAAATAAATATCGTAATGATTTTGAGTCTTCCAGAACTAAAATTATAATTTATTTTTTTTATTTATTTTCAAAATCGTCGCTATGTAGTAAAGTTATTTCAAAGATAGAGTTTTTGTAACAATTTCAAGTATTAATATGTTTAAATTATTAAGAAAATCAATTATAAACTTTAAGAAATATTTTGCGTCTTTTTAAAAGATTAAAAACTAAAACTATAAATTAGTTTTTGTTATTTATTTCAAATATTTATTTTTAACGGCTAAATCTTACTAATTCGCCAAGGTTAGTCTGTCTGCTTCTTTTCAATTAAAAAACATGTTTAAAAATTGTATGATAATTAGAAAGTAAAAAAATATATTTTAAAATTTTTTCTTAAGTATAAAATATTATTTTTAAAGAAGTCTGAAGTATATGTTATAAAAAAAGTATCTTAAAAAAAAAAACTTACATAATTAATGTAACCTTAATCAACGTTTGGGTTGGGCCCAATGGCTAAAAACAGACTCACCCAAGTCCAATGCACAAATGCTGCTACTTTGCATATGTTCAAACCTTTTAAAGTTAGTTACTTTTTGAATCCGTATAGATCAAGAAAATATAAGTTGAGAGTAATTAATTTATATACAAGTCAAAACATTTTTTTGGTAAAAGCTACAAATTTTTAAAAATATTTTCATTTTTTTCTTTGATTATATCGAATTGATTATATTATGTTAGTTTATTTTTACAAATTCATTAGTTGAATGAGAGTTATAATTAGTCATGCCAAAATAAAATTTTCTTTTGAATTTTATTAAAAATATATTATGATGATAAAATAATTTGTATATATTAAAAGAACAGCATGTGTGAAACGTCAAGAAAACATAGTTGACATGTGATGTAAAAAGTAGTGTTGATTGAACTACACCCCTTGACTATGGTGTTTGTGGTTGTGGCTGCCAATGGCCAAGCCAACCAATTTAGGGTTTTTGCAAGTTGACCTAATTTAATTTAATTTGTATTTTACACCAAAGGTTGCCACATGGTGGCCCCACTTCTTATTTTCTAGATAAAGATGCAGAGAACTAAGTCCATCACCAGATAAGCTCTTACCATCGGCTCTTTTTCGGGTTTTAAATTGGGATGACTTCGCCCCGATTTGACCCGGTCAGTGGGGGCGCGGTGCGATTAGATCGTAGGGTCCTCTCCTCCGTTAATATTATTTTAATTGTATAAATAATTTTAAAATTTGTATATTTATATATTAACTCATATTTTTATTAGATAAATTAAAATATTATTATATTTATATGTTAAAATAATTAATTATCAATAATTTAATTTTAATTAATTAATATTTATAATTAAATTATGATATTATAATATATTTTTATATTTTAATAATATGATAAAAAATATATAATATTTTAATTATGATTATTTTTATTATAGTTTTAATATATGAATATTTTTTTAAAATTTTGATTCTTGTATCGTTCTTAGTCTCTTAGATTTGCGTTTTAAGTAGGGTGAATTAAAATTATAACAAATACATTTAGTTATTTACATCACATATATGAGTATTTTAAAATAAGTATTATTATATTATATAAGTTTTTTATATATTTTAAACCAAAATAATTGAAATATAATGTTTTCTCTCCACTTTTAGCAGTTCAATATTGAGAGTGACTACCTCAAATGTCATATCCTCACCTGTATTAATAAGTTCATTTTTAAATTAACACATCATACAAACTAGGATAAGGTAGTGATAAAATTCTTTATTCATATTATTGAGATTTGTTACTTATGTATCCTTTAGTATTTTTTTCAATGTTCCTTAGATTAGGTTAAGGGTTTGGGTTGAGGCTCATATCCTTTATATTGTATCCCTTTTTTTTATATATACACATGTATTAGAGTTTTTGTTCACTGCATCAAATCCTAAATAAGTTTTCCCAAGTTGGTATCAAATCAGGTATGATCCTACACTGATTTTAATCACCTTTGTTAGCTTTGGCCGCCGTTAGCTACCTTCGAGTGACCAAAATCAAAGCTGACCATCTTCATCCGACTCGTTGGCGTCCTCTGAGTCCAGTGGTACCCTTAGTTTTCTAGTTTGTAACTATGTATGAAAAGTCTCGTTGGCTTTCATCTTTTCTGGTTCAGATGACCTTATCTTTCACATTCACCTTCTTTACTACTCCCACCATAACTAATGTCAGGCTCAACTAGAAAAATTACTTATTCTAGTCTGCTTCAGTTGAGCTGTGATTTCTCAATTAAGGGCATCACAACCATTTGGAGAAGGATGTAAACTCTGTTCTCGCTGCAGAATGGTCTTAGTGGGAGAAAATAGATTTCCAACTTTATGCAATCTTATGGCAGTCTGTGGAACCAGATGTTCTTGAGTTTCTCAAGTCATTCAAAACTTGTTCTTCTTTTCGAAAAAAGGCTCAAGACATTTTTTACTAATGATATTCAACGTCTCTTTCATGCAACTCAAAGAGTGACGTCAATTAAGTAGACTAATCACGATATGATGACTCACATGGCACAAGCTAGGAATGTTGTGGAAGAATTAAAAAAGTTTCTTGTTGCAAATATCTTAGAGGAAGTAAACATCAAACTCGATAAACTATATATAGTTCTAATTTTGAGAAGTCTACATCCTGACTTTGATCACGTGCATGATCAAATCCTAGTCGGTGATCATGTTCCATCAATGGATAATCTTGTCACTATGTTAATTCAGGTTCCTAATCTCATGGTTGATGAGAATCAGGTGGAAACTATTGAAACCTTTGATATGGTTACCCCTCGGGTCCAGGGAGATGACGCAATAATTGAGGTGGACATGGTAGTTTGAAAGTTTGTCCTCAATGCACATATTGTAATAGGATGGAAAACACGCAGGAAAATTGTTATTCCTTACATGACTTTCTTGATAAGACTGCTCATGCATATAAATCAGAGAAGGCAGATATGATGATTTCTGATCATATATCTGACAATAGTTTATTATTTTCCTTCATGTCATATCCTAAAATTTCTCACTTAATCACTGTAGTTAATGAATCCAAAGTGAAATCTCAAAGTGTTGGTCAAGTTCCTTTAACCCCATATCTAAATTTAAATTATGTTATTTTCATTCCTAATTGTCCTTATAACTTAATCTCTATAAGTTAACTTATTCGTTCTTTGAATTATTCTGTAACATTTACTTACAATTTTTTTGTTATTCAGAAACATGGTACGGGTCGTCTAATTGGAGAAGGACATAAATCACGTAGTATGTACTATCTAAAATCAAGTCCTTCGGTGTCTTGTCTGTATTATCATAAAATATTTTCAATATTCACATATGAATTATTCATTCAAGCACTACAACTATACAATAAATCAAGTGTTTCATATCTCAGTATGTAAGTTACATCTCATGTCATCATACACTAACATTCACAATCATAGACATTTGATCCTACTTCAGGAAGATTCTTATGCGTTAAATTTAGACCCAAAGATTTGTATTGTCACACTACCTTTGTTAAGTGAATATCTTCAACATAGGTATATAATTGAAATATTTCCCTCGTGTGACAAGATAAATCCCTATGACTTGTTAGATACAGTTCTTTCTCACACTACAAGCTAAGTCATAGAAAGATATTCTTCAACTTTTACCAACTAATACTTTTTTCCCATATGAGTCTAGTATTAGTAAAGTTAGGATACCTCCTTCAAAATCTCAAATTCAATACATTACATATATCTCAATATAGTATTTCCTCCTTCGAAACTAATATATTAATTTTCATCA